ATTATTAGCCCTATTATGTGGCCAAGGAGGCGGAGACACAGCAAAGTTAGGTAGATTTCCCAGACTGGGGCTAAGGGGTGGGTCAGGATTTGAATCCGCATAACTAAGCACTTGGTGACCCTGCTTCTGGGTCAGGAAGGAATTGGAGGCACCCCTCTCCTTTCTGACCTCACGCTGCTTCTCCAAGTTGTTGGAGTAGGGCAATGCAGGGGCCGCAGAGTCAAGTGTCTCTCAGATGCTCAGCAGCAGACTCACTGGGTGGGGACAGTGGTGACCAGGCTGCACATGTCCCTTGGGTGACTGTTGCCATATTACAATGCAGGCCCGATGTCTCCAGAACTTCTGATTTTTTTTTAAAGATAAGCTGCAAATTAAGATTTTGAAATGCAAAAATGTCCCAATTTAAAAATGGTGGCAACAGAAATAAAAAAAAATCCCTCTGCAAGTTAGGCGGCCAGTCTGCAGCATCTGGACATTTGCCTTGTGCAGGGAGAGGGCTGCAGGCTGGGGAGGAGGAAGCCAGAGGCCTCAGCCCTGCCTGACCCTGCCTGACCCCTATCACTGCCCTAATCCTCCCTGGGCAGCCCTCTGCTCCCTCCCCATGCCATTAACCTCCCTCCCCAGTTCTTCCTGGGAAACCCACTGAGGCCCAGGGAGCCAAGGCTGTGACAGCGGGGCGTGGGGTGTCTTTGGTGGGGGGGGATGGAGTGAGAGGGGCTTTGCTGGAAGACAGGGACTCAGCCCTTCCCAGGGCCAAGGAACCACAGCTCTGGTCACGCCTTGAACAAGTCAGGGAAAGAATCGAAGCCTCAGAATAAAAACCCTAATATTCATCATGTGACCTGGTTCCTTCTCTGCCTTTCCCCACCTCCCTCATCCCTCCTGGCTCCCTTCCCCTTCCTGTCTGCCCCTCTTTTACCTCCTCTTCCTGCCCCTCCCCTGGCTCCCTGGTTTCCAAAACATTAGCTGAATTTCCTTTAGCAGTGTTGGTTTTAGACAACTGCAGTCCCCATGAGGTTTCTCTGGGGGCACGGAGCTGTGATCCAGAAAAATTCAAACTAGGCTTCCCAGACATCCAGGGGTGGTCTGTGTATTCACTCAACAAACCTGGGTGGAGCTCTTGTTTGCATTGGAGCCCTGTGTGCTGTGCTGGGCTCACCGTTCACGCATCCATTCATTCATCGATCCTCAGATGGCCTTAGTCTTCCCATAGCATTAGAGTGAAATGCAGATTCCTCACTATCTGCCCACAGCTCATCTCTCTGCTTTTCTAGCCCAGTCTCCTGCCTCGTGCGCCCGTATCCACCCAGGCCTCTTTGTTATCCTCACATGCACCACACACCCTCACCATAGTGACTTTCACTTGCGGCGATGAAGTCCCCCCCTGGTCAGGGAACTCAGAAAACAAGAGGTAGTTATGTGATAGAGCCAGCCTAGGTGACTATAGGAGCTCTGAGGAGGGGTCTAATCCAGGCAGACTTCCTGGAGGAGGCAACTGAGGCTGAGTTTTGAAGAACAAGTCAGAGTTAGCCAGGTCAGAGGGAGATGTGAGTGGGTGGGTGGGGTGACAAAGGTGTTCCAGGCAGAGGGAAACCCTTGGGTAAAGTTTGGAAGATGGGGTGCATGGGGCATTCATGTTGGAATTGCAGGTGGTGTGGTCAGGCCCACATCAGACAAAGCTCACAGCCAGGCTGGGTGCTGTGCATTTGCTGGGATCCCTTAGACAGATGACATAAGCTCTGTGCTTCCATTTCCTCACCTATAAAATGGAAAGTATATTAGTTCCAGTTTTATGGGGTTGTTAGGAGGCAGATGGGTTAAGACACAGATGGGTCTCAGCAGGGCCTGGAATGCAGTGAGCACTAGTCAGCGTCGGCTCCGCTTGGTGGGAAAGCCCGTGAGCATCTGGGGAAGGGGCAAGCTTACTCTCAAGGGCAGTGGAGAGCTGGGATGCAGGGCAGGGGTGCAGTCAGACTGGGAAGATTGGAGGCTGCTCTGGAGCCAGGAGGAGGCTGTCTAGGAGGGAAGGAGGGAGGAAGGGAGAAGCTGGAGCCTGGGGGGGGGGGGGGGAGGGGGAAAGGGGGAGCCTGGCCAGTACCCGGTGGTTAAGAAGGTGGGCTCGAGGCAGACCCCCAGGACGCAAATCCCAGCTTTAGCTGCTTACTCGCTCTAGAATCTTGGCAAGCATCTTAACTCAGTTTCCCGATCTGTAAAGTGGGCATGACAATAGTACCCCACCCCAGAGAGTCATGATGAGTAGAAATGAGTTCATTCGTGAGAATCGCTCAGAACGTCACGAGTACTTAACATCCATCTGATCAGCTAGGATTATTATTAAATATAAAGTTAGTAGATGAAAGGAAAGGCTGCTGACGTTATTTTTGCCTGGGACAAAAGGGATCTCAAATCAGGCCTCCTACCTTGGCAGCCACGCTGTGTGGGAAGCCTGGGGGCCAGGAGATGTGTGGTGTAGGCTCCTCCCCGGCAGGTAAATCACTGCCGATCTCCCAAGGGGCCAGCCCCGACATCGCCATCGCTGATAAAGGAGAAAACAGGAGCTCCCTGCTTTGTGTCTGCATATAAGACGTACAGCTCACTCTCCCGGAGCCCAAAGCCGCTCAGCAGCTGGTAGAGCATGAGAGAATGTCCAGGGCAGGCAAGAGAGGTGGGATGGACCCATGCCCACTTTTCTGGGTTTTCTTCTCTGAGCCTCCCTTCTTCGGGGAGCAGGACTTGCCCAGCCTCGAGAGAGGCCCGGGTTCTCTCCTTCAATCACTGTGTGACCTCAGGAGATCTGCCAAGCCTCTCTGAGCACCAGTGTTCTCATCTATAAAGTGGGGATGGTGATACCCACCTCCCACAGTTGGTGGGTGGATTGAGGACAATATGCAAGTCGAAGGCCCTGGACATTGGGTCCTCTGGGTCTCACAGAGGGTTCAGCTGGTAATGAATCAACATTGCTCTGGAAATTGTAATCATTAAGGGCACGAGTGTGGGGAGTCAAGCAGAACAGCCTTGCACCCCAGCTTGGGCGATTCACTGAACCAGAAGTGCCCACCTCACTGGGGAGGAGTAGATGGGATGATGGGCCTAGGGGCTCAGTTCAAGGCCTGGAGCACAGTAGGGCTCCGTAAATGCTGGCTGGGATCTTGCTCGGTGTACTGGGGAGGGGGGGGGATTGTGTGCCCTGAGGGGGGAGACCCGTCTCTGGGCTACAACGTGGGGCTCTGGGGCCATGGGAGGTATCTGCTAAATCCCCTGAGCAAACAGGGCTGCAAAGGCAGGCACGGGAGACTTGGAGCAGGGAAGGAGGACAGCATCCCTGTTAGCAGTGTGACAGGTGTCCGGCTGCAAAGACGAGGCTGGGAAGAGCCTGGAGCCTCCCGCCCTGCACGGGTGTCTCAGGGGAACTCCCCATTTCCAGCTGGGAGAACGGTCCTGTGCCCCCTTTTGAATGGCACTGAGTCTTGATATTTGGTTTATAAGGAGTTAATTATGAGAGGAAGAGCTTCTAACAGACTATCATCTGTGAAGCATGAACTCCCGTACCTAGCATTTACTGCATGCACCTGCTATGGGTGGGTCAGGGACACAGCCCATGACAGCTAGCGCCTGTGTCCTGAAGGAGCTAACACTCCAGTGGGGGCGACAATGCTCGCCAAGAACAATAACAAACAGACACTGAATCCATAGGATCCTATGAGGTGGTGAGCTCTCTGGTGCCAACAAAGCAGAGTGACGGGAGAAGGACCAGGAAGCGGCATTAAATGCAGGGGGCAGCAGATGGCTCCCTGGCAATTTGACTTTGCATTTACCTAATTACAAGAAGGAGCAAGCCCTGTGAAGATCTGGGCTAAGAATACTGCAGAGCAGGGGATGGAAAGTGCAAAGACCCTGGGGTAGGAGCAAGCTTGGTAGGTTTGAGGAACATAGAGATGAAAACAAGACACAGCTCCTGTCTTCATGGAGCCAAAGCCTGAAGACTCAGATATTTACCAAATAGTGGAATATTTTGATGGAGGAGGCACAAGTTTCAGGGTGACTGCAAAGGAGGAGCATCCTATCTAGCCTCGGAGATCAGGGAAAGCTGCCTGGAGGAAGTGATATCAAATGTAGGGCCTAAATTAGCAGGTAACAGAAGAGGAGAGGAAGGGTTTTCCAGCAGATGGAACAGCATAAGCCAAGTCCCAGAGATGGGACAGGGCCTGATACACTTATTAGGGGAATTGCAAGTAGCCGGATATGGTTGGGACCAAGTGTTAGGGTGTAGGGATGAGACTGAGGGTGTTCCTGTCATTTAGAAAAGGGGCCAGGCCTGACCCAACCTAAGAGATCCGACCGCAGAATTGCCACGCTGAGCGGGGCGTTTTAGGGTGTGCAGGAGGGTTCCAAGGAGGAACTGGAGGCAGGGAGGCCAGCTCGGAGAAGGTAGAACGATGGCCACGGCAAGTAGAAGGCTTGGGTGAAAAAGGCAAATTCCAGAGGACTTACAAGGCAGAAAGGATTGGCCCGGGGACAAGCTGAGGCCTGGGGACAAAGGCAGGCGATGGGGCCTCAAAGAATCCAGGAAAGCAGATGCTGAGGGTCTTCTGGCTTGGGGGATGGGCAAAGTGGGTTTTGAAGGCTGACGGGCCCAGGTCAAGTCCCGGCTTGTCCACTGCCTAGCTGTGCGGGCAATCACTTGCCCTCTTTGATCCTCAACTTCCCTACCTGTCTGATGAAAATAGCAGAGCCCACCTCCAGCGCTGTTACACAGATGAACGTGAACTCGGGGAAAAGTTGCTGGCACGTGGCAGGTACTCAGCACGTCAATTCCCTTCCTTGACCCCTGAGCCTCCTGGGGCCTCTATTTTCCTGACTGTGAAATGGAAATGAGAACATTGGCCTTGCAGTATTTCCGCAGGGGTTGGCGAGATGGCCCAGGACACTGACACAGAGTAGGCGCTCACAGATTCATTCTCTTCTCTTTCTCCCTCCCCATTGGGAAAAGCAGAGACAGCATGGCCTGGCAGGGGCTGGTGCTGGCCGCCTACCTCCTCGTGCTCCCCTCCGCCATGGCGGACTGCCTGACCCGGTGCTCCTTGTGTGCTGTGAAGACCCAGGACGGGCCCAAGCCTGTCGACCCTCTGGTAGGTTTCAGGATGCCCAGGTCCTGGGCCTGTGTGTGGGAGGGGCCATCTGTGCGGAGTCTGGGCCACTGTGTGTCTGTCCTGTAGACTCGTCCTACCTGTGCCAGACAGATCCTGCCCTGGGGTCAGCCGGCACAGGTTCCCACCTCCATCCCCACCTCGGACCTCACCACCACCGGCTTGGCTCGCTCCATTCTGGGAAGGACACTCAGGTCTCCAGGGAGCCTGATGCCTGGCAACAAGGAGGGTCATTAAGGAGGCAGTGCTGGCTTTGGGAGTGGACAGCCTTTTGGTAACTTTCCAGGGCTTCTTTCCACCAGGCTGCTGGGCGACTCCCAGTCTAGTTATTCCCATGGAAGGAGCTCTTTCCACCACCACGAAATGCCAGGAGCTGGTGGACAGGATCCAAGCCTTGACCCTTCTCCTGGATCTTAGCGTCTCTCAGCCTGGCCTTGTTGGCTTTGCTTTGAATCAAACTGTCACTGTCTCTCACTTGATGGCAGACAGGTGAGAGTAAAGGTCCCAAGGGTGTGGCGGACAGAGCACTGCCACTTTCTCACTCCGAGACCCTGGAACCCCGCATCTTCAGTTTCCACATCTGCAAAATGGGCGTGATTCTATGAGATAACAATGCAAAGTCCTCAACACATGGTTCTAGCTGCTCTTCAGAGAGAGGCACATGATCACAGGGTAGCACAGAGGTTAAGCATGAGGGCTTGTGACATTAGCCTGCCTGGGTCCAAGTTCCAGAATTGTCCAGTGTTGTCACTGCTATCCTCATGACCATCATCATGTTCACATTCGAATTCCCCCAGCACTCCTATGAAGGAGATACTTTTGTTCCCCGGGTTTGATGAGCCCTCAGACCACTTACATGTGTTCTCTCCACCAGCCTGCCTAGCTTCCGTGTCTCTCCATCACATGGCAAGAACATCCCTCACACCTGGGAAAGGTGGGGAGAACCAAATACTCCCTCTGGAGTCAGGAGCTCAGAGGATGAGTGAGCACACCACAGAGCACTCCGGGAAGATCTTACCTAGGATGTTGGCATTGCGTTTTGTAGCCGCGTTTCCCTGGGAAAGTTGTTCCACCTCTCCACGTCTCTTTCCTCCTCTTACACACAGGCACACAATCCCCTACCTACATGCACCCCTGGGAGCATTGAAGTGGGAAGCCTGGGGCTTAGTAATGGCAGCTGCTTTTGATTTTCTGACATGGGACCAGGGACTCTCTGGGGCGGGGGAGTGCATGGCGCTTGATGGTCTGACGGAGGTGACGTTACCACTCTGGTCTTTGCGGGGTTTTGCAGATTTGTTCCCTGCAATGCCAGTCCACTCTGCTACCGGCTGAGGAGTGGGAGACATGCCAAGGCCTTCTGTCCTTTTTCACCCCCTTCACCTTCGGGCTCAATGGCAAAGAAGACTTGGAGACCAAGGCCGCTTTGGAGGAGTCCTATAGTGAGCTGGCCAAGCGCTCTGGGCCCTTCCCGAAGGAGCTTGAGAAAAACAGATTTCTCCTCAGCACCCCAACAGAGGAGAATGCCCTGAGCAGGAGCCTGGCGGAGAAGCTCCGGGGTTTCTCTGGCAGGTTGGGTGAGGGAGGGGAGTCTGAGCTGATGCGGGACACCCAGCTGAATGATGATGCCTTGGAGGCTGGGGCATTGGATTCCAATGAGGAGGACATCAAGGAGCAGGTCAAACGCTATGGGGGCTTCTTGCGCAAATACCCCAAGAGAAGCTCAGAGGTGGCTGGGGAAGGGGACGGGGACGGAGGTAGGGTGGGCCATGAGGACCTGTACAAACGCTACGGCGGCTTCTTGAGGCGCATCCGTCCCAAGCTCAAATGGGACAACCAGAAGCGCTATGGAGGTTTTCTCCGGCGCCAGTTCAAGGTGGTGACTCGGTCTCAGGAAGACCCCAATGCCTACTCTGGAGAGCTTCTTGATGGGTAAACCCCTCCCCATCGTGGAGTTGAGTCAGGAGCTCCCCCTGACACCCTTCCAGATTGGAGTGCCCTCATCCATCCTACCTTACATCCCCTGTACCCATGCTTAGTTCAGCTTTGTCTGCAGAACATCCAAACCCAGCCTGCCTCTTTTCTGCCTGGGGTGCAGTGTTTGTCTGGAGTCAGCAAGGAGGAAGGATGGAGGTTCCCCTCTCCAGTAGACTCAGTGCTTGGTCCCAACTCTAGAACATTGAAACTACTGCCAACAGCAGCTTTTGCTATTAATCCCCCCCCATTAATGTGACTCCCCAGTTCCAGGAATCCAGACTGACTTGTTCTTCATCCCTCTAGATAAATAGCAAAACAAGATAAAGAAACAAATAGAAATCCTAACACTTTATCCCAAACCTTAAAGGACCTCCTTGTGCTCCTCACTTTGGAGACCATGCTTTAGGTAAAACGCTCAAATGCAGCATTTTATTGGAGCAGGAAGTCCTACACTAGAGAGTTCAGTCCTCCAGTGGGCATGTGTTCAGTTGTGTTCTCTGTGTTCTCATCGTTTAGAAACACACCTCTCGAGGAACCCAGTTCCTGGACTCCAGTTCATGTTGGTACCTTGGATAGCACCCAACCCCTCGCGTGAGAGGAAGGGCGAGAAAACCGCTTCCAAAAGGCTAATGAGAGCAGTTCTCCCACTGAATACTGAAATGATCAGGAAGGGAGCAAGACAAACCAATTTGCTCTGTGCAGCAAACTCAAAATGTGGACCAGTTCCCTCAGCCCTCATTAAACTAATTAATCAGATCGGCAGCACACTCCTACCCCAGGATGAACTGAAGCTGAGTCAAGTTGATGAGGTTAAGCACAACCATGTTCTTGAGCAGCTGAATTGGCCGCCAAGAGTCTTAGCCATCTGGCCAAACATATGCATTGGGCATTGGGTAAGGGAATCCAGAAGCAACAGCTAGAAAGACAAAAAGGCCTTCTTCAACCCCTGTGATGATTCTTTCCTCTTGATTTCTCAGAATAAAACCAGAAAGAGGCATGAAGTGATTAAGTGCTTGATGTCAAATGAATTCTCTTGATTCAAATAACCCAGAATCAGAGGCAGAGACCTCCCAATGTCTTGGTTTCAATCAAAGTCTTCTCTCTCTGTTGCTCTTGCTCGCTCATCCCCGGGCACTATGGTTTGGTTTGTGGGTCCAGGAGGCTGGGCTGGATAGGAGAGGAAAGGGTCTTGAGTTCAGTTAATTTGTATAAGATGCTACTGAGCATACTTCTTCACGCGCAACTCCCGGGTCCCTCATGATGTTCTGAATTGTATGGATTGCTGTAGGGTTAACTTCGTGTGCTTTTAAAAAATCCCACTTATGCAATTTACCCAGAATTTGCTTATTCCTTAGCAGGCCTATGTTATTTCCTACTCCTCCAGTGCAATAAATAAAAGAAAGATGGTAATGACTCGGGGTGTGTATGTGTGCGCCTCAGTCTCCAGAGTGTGGAAAGACCATTTGCAGAAAAGAGTGCTGGGGAATGAAAAATATACACACAGACACACACACACAGACCCACACACACACACATATTCATATCAGAAAACTAAGTGTAGGATAACAGAAAGAGCACAGACTTGAGAACATCTTCACCCTAAATTTGAGATCTGTGTGATGTTGAGTAAGTTATTTGCCTTTCTGAGCCTTAGTTTCCTCTCCTGTAAGAGAAAGAACCCCTGACTCCCAGGGACTGTCTCCTATGCTGGGTTACTAAGGCAAGAGGGACAACTGTTCCTCGACAAAGGTGAAGAACTGTCTAGAGAGTGGGTGGCATAAATCCTTTACTGAAATGACATGCTTTATTAAATGGCATCGAGGAGATATCTTTACATAGGGCTGGTGTGGAAGAGTCTCAGTAGCTCCAGACCTCGTGGGTCCCATTTGGCCACTGGTTTTCTGAGTGACTTTATAGAAAACACAGGGCCAGGGAGTTCGGTCTCCTTCCTTCTTTCCTTCATTCAAGAAAGAATTCATTGAAAGCCTACTGTGTGGTAGGTCTTTTTCTAGGTGCTGGAGATACAGGAGAATAAAATGGATAAGGTCTCAGCTCTTATGGAACTTACAGTCTATGGGTGGGCAGACAAGTAAACAAAAATATAAATCTAAAATTAAAAATTAAATTCAAAAAATAAATAAAATGTAATGAATTTAAAATTAAATATTAATGAAATTTAAAATAGTAGTAATTATTGTGAAGGGAACAACTGGGATTTAGTAATAATGGATAATAGGGGTAGGGGAGGAATATCCCCAGGGTGTTCAGGAAATCTTTCTTGAGGAATATTCTGTTCTTGCTGTTCATAGGATCATCAAGTTGGAAGGAACCTAAGGTTGGGATTATCTCCTCCAACTACTTACTCTGTGCCAAAATTGACACACTGACAATAAATTTTTAACTTGGATTTCACAACATATTGCTACTCCTTAATAATTCAGTGTGGGGAAGTTCTGTCTTTATGTTGGGTTGAAATTAAGGTTTCTTGTCACTTTGATACTTTGGGTCCTGATTTTGCTGTCTACCAGCCCAAGAACCTTTTCAGAATTTTCTGTTGCTTGCAAACAAATGGCTCCTAACTATCTCAAATAAGTTAAATGAACAACAACAACAAAAAAAAAGAAAAACCTAAACCCAAAACCAAAACCAAAAACAACTAAGTAATTTGTTGGCTCACATAAATGAATATAGGATATTTACTTCAGGTACAGCTTGATCAAGGGCCTCAAAAAGAACACCGACACTTCTCTATCACTAAGACTTTTTCTCCTCTGTGTTGGATTCATTCTCAGACTCCACATGCTTTTCAGATGTTGACAACAGCTCCAGGCTATACCATGCAGGTTCAGGTCTAGCATGCTATTTTCACAGGAAATCCCCGTCAGAGTTCACTGTGCCTCATTAGCTCTGATTGGGTCATTTGTCCAGTCCTGAGCTCATGCCAGTCATTATGGACAGGTTAATGTGATGCTCTGATTCTCAGGACTAAACCACATGGGCAGCCAGGGATCGATTCAATCCAACTCAAAGACCATGAGAGACGATAGGCTCTGAAAAACAAACGGAGGGTTCTAGAGGGGAGGGGGGTGGGGGGATGGGTTAGCCTGGTGATGGGTATTAAAGAGGTCATGTTCTGCATGGAGCATGGGGTGTTATACGCAAATAATGAATCATGGAACATTACATCAAAAACTAATGATGTAATGTATGGTGATTAACATAATATAATAATAAAAAAACCACAAAACAATCCAACTCAAAGTAGTTGGACTAGAAGTGGGGAAGGGGAAGTTTTTCTGAGGACAGTTGGAGCATGTTTCCCAGTAGGAGAAAGAATAAATGCCAACCCACCAAATAACAGATTGTCAACCCCCCCCACCCCAGTGAGTGAAAGTAGCTGGGTGGGACCTGGGGCAAACTGGAGAGTGTATGTCATGGGGAATATGGGCTCAGGGTAGCCAGATTTGATCTTTAAGAGACCACGGAAATCTGACTTTGCTTTTTTTCCATATAAGTAATTTTTTTAAAGAAGTGTTGAGTAGGACAAACAATAGCATCTTTGGAATGAGACACATCACTTTCTTACCACTGTTCTGTGACCTCTCTAAATTTTTTTTTTAAATAAGAAACACTTCTTTTTTGGGTTTTTACATTCTCCCCATATGCCATGGATTCCAGAATACTATTGCTCTCTACTCCCTTTTCTGGACCCATTTCACTTGGTCAACGAGGCATGGCCACGGATGGTGAAAAGAACCTGGCTAGGGGTCACAGAGAGCTAGGCAGAGATCCCACTTTCCTGGGTAGCTCTGGGCGAGCCACCGCACTTCACTGAGCCTTGGTTGTGTGTGTGTGTGTGTGTATGTGTGTGTTTAAGATTTATTTGTTTATTTTAGAGAGAGAGAGTGCGTGCGCGCGAGTGCGGGGAGGGGCAGAGGGAGAGATAGAAGGGAAGCAGACTCCCCCACTGAGCGCAGAGGGAGATGCTGACCTGGGTGGAAACCAAGAGTCAGATGCTTAACAAACTGAGCCACCCAGGCGCCCCCGAGCCTCAGTTTTCAATCTGTCGATTGGGGAGGAAAACTCTGACTTCCCTCGCCGGAGGTGAGGGTTTGGTAATGGGGAGTCTCAGATACTTCTGGCACACAAGAGGTTTATGACACGAGGTGCTGCCCCATCTTGAAGGGTGATGCCTCTGATGACGGTATTCCAGATGTCACCTGAGCGAGGCAGACACCTGTGGAAAGAGCAAAATTCTCCTGGTAGTAAGAGAAGGATGAAACTTAAAAAAAAATTATTTTCTGTTGCTCTATAACATACACGCTGTCAAGTGTACTTAATCTTAAGTGTGCAGCTCAATGGATTCTTACATATGTATACACCCCTGTGACCACCACTCTGATCACAGTATAAAACATTTCCAGCACCTCAGAGGGGTGATCACTTTTTTATGAGGGATGGAGAACAAGCCAGAGGAAGGATTGGAACAAAAATATCGCAGACCCTGCAGAGTCCTGATTCTCTGTCCATGTCACCAAGGCCACTGTGCAGCAATCACAGATCAGTCATTGGTTAGGGGATGCCAACATCCCGGTAACCTTAGAAGAGTGTGTTACTAATAAGCACGCCGTTTCCACGACAACGCCATACACCATCCGCAGCGAGGGAAGTCTTGTTATAATGATCATGACAATCATAATGATCTCTCGGATTTGGTTCATCCCTCCCCCACCCCCACCCCCAGCTCCAAGCCCTTCACACAAACAGGTCCAGTGATGGGGCTTGTCTATTAATTAAGGGCCCCCAAGTGAAGACAACAAAAATCCCCATGACAGCACTGGGAACAATGGTTCCCTAATAGGTGTCATTTCGGCATTCTTGATTCATGTGCCGCGTCCATGTGGACTCCCATTGTAGCTGTGGAGGTTTATAACAAAGATTTATAATTATTTTTCTGAT